AACAATTTTTAGCCGCTATATATTCGACTTCAGTAGTGGATAAAACAACACATGCTTGTTTTTTAGAGTGTCAGGAAACTAAGGAAGATCCTAATAGATGACAGGTTCCACTAGTACTCTTTCTATCAATCTTACAACCCCCATAATCAGTATAAAAAAAAAACCTATTAAACTAGGTGAAGCACCAGAAGGATACCATAACCCAAAACATGTGGTTCCTTTAAGATATTTTAAAATTCTTTTTACTACAGTTAAGGGAGATTCTTTTGACAAGTCTAGAATCTAGCATACACATAGACAAATTGCATAATATCAGGCATACTTGCAGTTAAGTATAATAGAGAACCTATCATAACTCTATACATAGATTGATTTATTTTCAAACCTGATTTGTCCTTATCCAAATAGGGGGATGTTCCCATTGGTATGCTAGCTTCTTTTGCAGTATCCATTCCAAACTTCTTGAGAATCTCCTTGCAGTATTTTGTTTGAGACACAAAGGTGTCATCTTTTAATTGCTTAATTTGAAGTCCAAGGAAGAAGCTTAATTCTCCCATCATGGACATTTCAAATTCATTCTGCATAATACTTGCAAATCCTTCACATAGAGAGTTATTAGTAGATCCAAAATAATATCATCAACATATACCTGAACTAACAAAATATGTTCACCTACTTTCTTAATAAACAAAGTTGAGTCAATTTTTCCTCTAGAAAATTCATTTGCTAATAGAAAGCTGCTTAACCTTTCATACCATGATCTAGGAGCTTGTTTTAATCCATAGAGTGCCTTTTTCAATTTAAAAATATGATCAAGGTATTTGAAATCTTCTAAACCCGGAGGTTGTTGCACATATACATCTTTTTTAATAAAACCATTTATAAAAGCACTTTTTACATCCATTTGATATAGTTTAAATTTCATCATTGAAGCATAAGCAAGAAGTAGGCGTATAGTCTCTAACCTGGCAACAGGAGCATAGGTCTCATCATAATTTATACCTTCCTCTTGACAATATCATTTTGCCACAAATCTAGCTTTATTCTTATTTATGTTTCCATCTTCATCAAGCTTAATCCTAAATACCCATTTAGTTCCAATTACTTGATGATGTTCTTCTCTTGGAATCAATTCCCGGACTTGATTTCTTTCAAATTGATTTAATTCTTCTTTCATTGCAATACACCATTGATCATCCTTGAGGGCTTCCTCAACATTCTTGGGTTCTATCTGTGAGACAAAAGCTACATTCATACAGAAATTAGACATATTTCTAGTACTTACTCCTTTTGAAATATCACCAATTATGTTGTCAAGTGATAGTCTTCTTGGTGATTGTCATTCTTTTGCTAACTCGGATGGTTGAGATGGTTCATTTTCATTTAAGTACAATTCTTCTAATGCTTCCTTTAGGAATTCTTCATCACCTGCATTTTCTTTTCTTGACTCGAGAGGATTTTCCTCAAGGTCTACAATTTCATTAAAAGTAACATGCATAAATTCTTCTATATGTAATGTTCTTCTATTAAATATTTGATATGCTTTACTAGTAAGCGAATAGCCTAAGAAGATAGCCTCATTGGCTTTGGAATCAAATTTACCTAGGTTATCTTTACCATTATTTAACACAAAACATTTACAACCAAAGATTTTCAAATCACCTACATTTGGTTTTCTCCCTTTAAATAGCTCATAAGGAGTCATTTTCAAGATAGGTCTAATGAGCATTCTATTTAAAACATAACATGCAGTACTTACAGCATCTGCCCAAAAATATTTAGGAACTTTTGATTCATTCAACATAGTTTTAGCTAGTTCCTCTAAGGATCTATTTTTCCTATCTACTACACCATTTTATTAGGACGTTCTAGGTGCAGAAAAATTATGTAAAATATCATTTTCTTCACAAAAATTTTCAAAAGACTCATTTTGAAATTTTCTACCATAATCACTTCTTAACACTTTAATTCTTAACTCTTTTTCATTTTGAATTTGTTTTTCAAACTTTCTAAAAACCTTAAAGGCTTCACGTTTCAAAGTTAAGAAAAATGTCCAAGTAAATCTAGAGAAGTCATCAACAATCACAAGAGCATAATAATTTCCTCCAAAGATTTTAATTCTAGATGGTCCAAAAATATCTAAAGGTAAAAGTTCTAAAGGCTTTGAAGTTGAAACTATGTTCTTAGTTTTAAAAGATGATTTTACTTGCTTACCTTTTTGACATCCAACACATAATTTATCTTTTTCAAATTTTAACTTAGGCAAATCGACAACTAAGTCTCTAGAAATTAATTTGTTCAATTGAAGCATATGATTATGGGCTTCTCTTTTATGCCACAACCAAGGGTTTTCTTCTTTAACAACCAAGCATGTTATATATACATCAGATTCACAATCCAAATCAATCAAATAAATATTGTTATGCCTAATACTTTTTAATGAAATTTCTTTGGAATCCTAAGATGTATGGTGCAGTAATTGCTTTCAAAAATTACCTTAAGTCCTTTATCACATAGCTGACTTATACTGAGAAAATTGTGCTTTAGTCCATTATAACAAGGAGCACAATCTTTATCGCTAAAGTATTTGTACCATCAATGTTTCCGGTTCCAAGAATTTTTCCTTTGTTGTTATCTCAATAAGTCACATATCCTTGTTCTTTCTTATTGAAACTTACAAATTTGTTTTTATCACCAGTCATGTGTCTTGAACATCCACTGTCAAGGTACCACATAGACTTCTTAGATTTTGAAGTTTCCTACAAAATAAGAACACAAAGATCTTAGGTCCCCATAACTTTTGGATCTTTGGGGTTAGAGACAATCAAATTATTTAACTATAGGAACCCAAATATATTTTCCTTTAGGAACACCAAAATGCTCAATTCTACATTTATTTGAAGTATGTCCCTGTTTCATACAATAAAAACATACATTTGGGGATTTTATTTTTGAAAAAGATTTAACTTTGTTTTGTGGAGGTACAGTTCCTTTCACAACCCATACTCTTCGGGTTCTTTGATTTTTAGATCTTTTCAAAGGAACATGACTATTAACTTTAGTTTCCACAAAATTTTGATTTTCATTATTTTTATCATCAATCACATATTTTGTTGCTTTTTCTAGAAAATGCTCAAGTATGCATATGTCAAATTCATAGCTCTTAGATGATGCACATTCTTTTGGTTCAACTTCTTCACTACAAGAAAAACACCAAATAGTGACAAAAAATTCGATCACTTAATGACCAAAATTGGTCACTAACTAAAATAGTGACCGAAATAGTGACCAACTGGAATCAGTCACTATTTTCTTGGTCACTGATTTTAGTGACCGATTCAGTAATCGAATTAGTGACCGATTCAGTGACCGAATCAGTGACCAAATTAGTGACCGATTTAGTGACCGAATCAGTAACTAAATCAACAACCGATCCGAGTGATCAAATCGGTGACCGAATTAATGACCAAATTAATAATTAATTTTAAAATAAAATGTCACTATATTTAGTCACTAAAGTGTTTCTTTTTTAATAAACCTATTATTATATTAAGATATATTATATTATATTAAGATATATATATATATATATATATATATATATATATTTGGTATGAATAGATCACACCAAAATTAATTTAAATATTATTAAAATTAGACAATTCTCCACATGATAATTAGACTTTTATATATTAAAAATTCAAAATAAACATAAAAAATATATTAAAATAAAATTAAATAAATACAACAAATATTCAATTTATATTTTAAAAGATTACAAATCTATCTTCTCCCTTGTATTGTTTGGCCAAAATGCTTGTGCACAATAAAATTAATGATAAAATCAGTTCTTCTTCTCCGTCTTCATTATATCAGATTTTTTTATCCCTGAAAACTCAAATATGGTTAGTACAATATTCAACAAAAAAGAATAAATAAATTTATATCTTAGTAAAACTATAAAAACTATTTTAATTATATATTAGGCTAACAATAACTAGTGCCCATAAGAGCATAACTTTGTTAAAATTACAATATTTTATAATTCTCTACTATTAATTATTTTCTTTTTAAAATTTACTTATTTAAGTCTTATATTTAAAGATATTAATTATATATATACTCAATTAATCAACATAATAAACTTTTTTTCTAACACGTTCTCTTAATCATATTCTATCCAAACCGCAAATTTATCTAATCATATATTAAGTAAATTAAGTGAATGTGAACAAGTGTCATTTTCACAACAATCTATTACTTCCTCTCTGTTTTCTCAAACATGCTTATCTCCTAAGTATGGTACATAACCCATCATCTTTAAATCCTTAGACAACTTTTTATAATAGTAAAATACTCACATGCATATCTGCCTCACAAGTTACTCACACATTGCAACTTGAATTCATATCAAAACAGGTCTTGCTAACACAATTGTGCTCACTCTCAATGTGAATGCAACAAGATTCTTATTTTTTTTGTCAAGATTGATTTTAGTTTTGGTTCTCATGGTTGACTTCAACCCTTTACATGGAACGCTACGCTAGAATGAAGGACAAAATTAACCGATAATAAAAATAAGAGAAACAAAAATCATTATTTATAAAGTATAGAACTAAAACTAATACTAACCAAAATCTAAAGGACCTAAAACACAATTTATTCTTTCAAAAATATCACCAGAAAAATCACCAATCTATTTCATAAGCATTAAAGGAGAGTATCTTCCTTTCAAAAAGGACTGATAAACTAGAGATTGAAGAAAGCAAGAACGAAGGAGCATACTAGATATTTGAAACTCACCAAATTCAGAACATCGAAGGTTTCTTTCAGAGTGAAATTTAGCTTTTCATTCCAGACAGGATTCAAGCAACAATTAATTACCTTGGTCTTTGCAGTCTAGTACAGTTTAGAAGCATTTCGAGGTTAAATAAGTTGCACAAAGTTAATGTCAAGAGAAAAAAAACTAAAAATGAAATTGACATGTCAATCCTATTTACCTAGTTCCCTTGTTTGAGCACAACATAAGGATCACTGGTCTTGAAATCCCGGATCACCAACCTTTTCCTTTGCACAACAATGATTTTTAGCACCCCCAGTTGTTCAATCATTTTATTGTACTCCTACAAACAAGTTAAATCGCTAATAAAAAAGGTCCATACCACAGTATTATCCACCATTCATGTAGGAGACAAACACACGAAAAACAAAGTAAGGAAGACAAGTGCTTGAGATAAGGTGGAAAACACTTCCCTTTACAAAAAATTGCAAAACCCCAAGACAAAAAACCAAAACATGAAGCCTCATTTTTCTTTTAACTCAAATATAAGAAAAAGTTAAAAAAAATGGAAGTCTCATTTTTCTATTTCCTATCTTTTAGTAAGATTTGTGCAGTAAAATTACCAGGAAAAGAAATTCATTGTAAGCATAATAAGAAACAAACCAAAAAGGATAATAGAATAAACCAAGCTGGAGAAGGGAGCTTGCAGTGGACATCAAAATACTAGTTTATCTTTGTTTTTATATGCAAGTATAGATAGCCAGGCCAAAACTGCCCAAATTCCATCTTTCTCATGAATATGATCAGAACCTACCCACAAACACAAGGAGTAATCACAAGATAAAACTGGGTTTTAGAAAAGTTCAAAGTTTTTATTTGCTCTTGATAATGCATACCAAAAACATACCAGTCCCAAAACTTTCTTCACCACATACTGAACATAATCCAGCATCCATTAAATTTCCAAATAACTTCCAACCTGTGGGGACCTGGTTTTAAATAACAAATAAATTAAATAAGTAGATGCCTAAAAGCCACCACAAAGTATTTTCATATCTAAGGCATCGATAGACCCCATTCGACATACTGTTTGACAAAATGCCACAACGAAAAATGAGGTTAGTGGGAACAGTACGTAAGCTTGAAGTAGGTGCGAACATCGTTGCAGGAGAGGTGGGAGAGGGAAGGCGCCGAGGTGAATAGAGGACGACCATTAGGCCCCACATCAAGTGAAGGGTTCTTGTCATCGACGATGAGTTGTCGAATACGTCCTTGTTCATCTTAGAGTGGGGCAGTAGGGACGGAGGAGGTGGGTTTTTTGGGATCGGGTTTGAAGGTGAAGCACTTGGTGGACTTGGTGGATTTGATGAAGACTTAGATATAATTTGATGAAGACATAAATTTAGTTTAGGTTGTGGGTGTGTAGATGATTAGGTTTTTAGCTTGAGCACTTAATCCCTTGATAGGCCATTATATGTTGTGATGAAGCGCCTTAATCTTCTGCATAGCATTGAAAATCATTTTCTGCATTAAAAGAACAAACTAAGTTTTTCAATCTGTTGAAAAAGATTTTCAATCGGTTAAAATCACTTAACAGAGTAAGTAGTTCTATATAATCGTATTTTCAATTGATTGATTCGCGAGAATCAACAAGTTAAAATAACTTAGTAAATTTCTCAATATGAAGGTTTCGGAAAAACAATCAATTGAAATACTTTTTAATCTGTTGAAAAAGAAAGATATTTTTCAATCTAAGAGTTTTCGGAAAAACAATCAGTTGAAACGTTTTTCAATCTGTTAAAATAAAGATATTTTTTAAGTCTAAGAGTTTTTAGAAAATCAATCTGTTGAAATATTTTTCAATCTGTTGAAACAGAGAGACTATTTTTTAACTAAGTATTTGCAGGAATTTAATCTGTTGAAATGATTTTCAATCGATTGAAACGAGTGCTTGTCATTTTTTCATTAAGTTGTTTTAATCCATTAAAACTCGAATCAATCGATTAAATGGAACTTTAAATGAAATCAATCGATTGAATCGATGTCTTAATCGATTAAAAGGAACTTTAAATGAAATCAATCGATTGAATCGATATTTTAATCGATTGAAATAATATTCTGATCGATCATAGTTTCATTTTAATCGATCATAACTCGGTCTGATCGATCATACTTCAGTTCTAATCGATCATAACTTGGTCTGATCGATCATACTTCAGTTCTAATCGATCAGAGTCTCTTCTAAACTGTTTTACTTCAATCTAATCGATCTTTTGACTCTCTGAAACAGTTTTTGACAGTTGAATCAGTCTGATTCTATGATTTACTCTATATATACAGATTTGATCTAACTTTTGATACAATATACAATACAATACAATACAACACACTACTTGAGAAAACTTGAGAAATCAATCTGTGAATCGTTCATCTACGTTTTTCTCTCTGCATTCAAGATTTTGTCATATCATAAGGTGCTTTGATCAACATTGTGGTCATTCACAGCGAGAGAGTGCTTTAGAATTGGTGCTGGGCAATTAGAATTCAAAGTCCAGGTTTCTTCTTTCCTTATTCTTTTGTATCGTGTGAATTGTGTAGATTGGATTGTAATCTACACTTGGTACAATAACTGGATTTGGTTACTGGGTGTTTTTCAAGATTCTATCTTATAGGTTGAAAAGATAGTTCTTGGTGTAGATTGGTGAGGATCTACGGGTTGTAATTGTCACTTGGTATTAGTGGAAACTTGACAGGTTTTGTCAAGAACTGGACGTAGCTCTGGATTAGAGTGAACCAGTATAAATTTGTGTGTTGATTTCCTTCTATCATCTCTTTTAAATTCTGAATATAATCTTGCTGTGTTTTAAATCAAATCATCTTTTCAAGAATTGAATAAAGATAACTCATTCTTCCAAAAGAAAGTAAAGTTTTGCGAAAAAGTTTTTAAGTTCAATTCACCCCCCCTCTTGAACTCAACCATTAATTCTTTCAGAAGGGTGGTCTAGGCTTTGGGGTCCTAGAAGAGTGGTTGAGACGAGAAAGGAGTGTGCTTGTGATGCCATGAATGATGGGTCACTGCAGTTCTTACCAAGGACCGTAACAATTCCTCTGCTCTTTTGTGTTTCTATAAGTGAATCACAGAAAAGTGCAGAGATGTGAGGTTTTTGTTTTGCATTTTTGGTTTTGAGAGACAAGACATGAGAACTGAGATTGGAAGAGAGGTGACGGTGAGGGAGAAGACGCGGGTATGGGTAGAGGTTGCGAATTGTGGTGATGTGGTGGTTGGACTCGGTTGAGGGGGAGAAACAGAGTGAGTGAGGGCATGGTGAAGGAGAGAGCTGCGTGGGTGAAGAGAAAACGAGAGGCCCGGGAGACGGTAGAAAAATTAGGGTAAAACGTAATGATTTTTTTTTCTTTTTAACTATATTTTTTTTTATTTTTTACTTATTATTTTGAAAAAGTAAATTTTTATAGTTTTTTTTATTTTATTTCTTTTAAAAAGTAAAATATTAAGAAGAAAAAGGAAATTTTTTCGTTTTATCTTTTAAATCTTTTTTTTTCATATTTTCAAATATTAGTTATTTCGTGAAATTAATTTTAACTAAAATAATTAAAATGATATATATACATTTATTTATTTTTTATTTTTTACTTATTAATATTATCAAATTTTATATAATTATTATTATGAATTTAATTTTGAAATACTTTAAATATAAATTTAAAATAGTAATTAAAATAATTTTAATTTTTTTATAAATAGATTAAAATACATTTTTATTAACATACAAATAATATATATATATATATATATATATATATAAGATACTAAATAAATAATTAATTTAATGACCGAATTGGAAACCGATTCGGTGACTCGACTCAGTGACAAATTGGTGACCGATTCAATGACCGAATTGGTGGCCGATTCAATGACCGAATTGGTGACCGATTCGATAATCGATTCGGTGACTAATTTAATAATCAATTTTTTTATTCACATGATAAATTAAAAAATAAAATCATATAATTATATTACTAAATTATTTAATTTGTTTAATAAATTATTAAACTATTTTTTAAAATATTTATAATGTTATTAAAAATGTTATAAATTATTTTAAGTTATTAATTGGATTTATATTTAATATATTATTAAAATATTTTTAATAAATATTTATATAAATGAAAAATAGTCATCAATTTATTGTTTTGTGACTGAAATTTTAGTCACTAAATCAGTCACTAAATATAAAAAGGAAAATTAGTCACTAATTTAGTTACTAATTTCGGTCACTATTAACCATTTTTCGTTTTTAAAGATTATACTTCCTTTTCTGATTTAATCAAACTCTTTTTCAGGGTTTTATGTTTAGATTTTAAATCTTTAAAAGTAGTAAACAGTTCTTGATATGCATTATGTAATTCATCATAATCATTTTCATTATCACTAGAAGAAGAGTCAGAATCATTTACCTCACAGTCGGAAGAGAAATTGTTGTTTGTCATTAAGCAAATGTTTGTTTCAACATCAGAATCACTTGACTCTGAACTAGAGTCACTATCCTCCCACGCAATGTAAGCTTTCTTTTTAAAGGATTTTCTTCTTTTTTATTCATCACTTTTTTTATTGTTAGGACAGTCTGCTTTCACATGCCCTGTTTCACTACATCCATAGCATTTGAAGTTTGGTGAAAATTCTTCTTTTTCTTTCCTCTTGTTTTTGAAGGGATGCTTTCCTTTTGATTTCACAAACTTTGTGAACTTCTTGATCATGAGACTCAAGTTCTCATCTTCTTCATTTTCAGAATATTATTCTTCCTTCTTATTCTTGCTTTTTGAGACCTCAGTCTTAAAAGCTAAGTTTCTCTTGTTATTTTGGCATTCCTCATCATTTAGTCTTCCTAATTCAAGTTCGTGCTCTCTCAATTTTCCAAAGAGAGTCGTCATTGTCATAATTGCAAGGTTTTGTGACTCCGTGATAGCAGTCACCTTGGGTTGTCATTTCTTGTCCAAAGATTTTAGTATTTTAACATTCAATCCATTAGTATCAAAATTCTTACCAAGCCCAGAAAAATGGTTCGCAATGTGTGTGAAATGCTTTTGGATGTCAAAAATTGTTTCTCCATGTTGCATTCTAAACATTTCATATTCTTGAATCAAGGAGTTCTTTCTTGCTCTTTTCACATCGTCGGTTCCTTCATGAGTCACTCTTAGTATTTTCCACATCTCTTGAGCACTTTTACATACAGATATCCTGTAAAACTCATCAAGGGTCAAAGTCGATGAAATAATGTTTCTAGTCCTAACATCATATTGGGTCTTTCTATTTTTCTCAATAGTTCATCTAGAAAACGGTTTTCGTTCCTCTACTTCATTGACAATCATTTTATGAATAAAAGGACCATTTACAACAGCTTCCCAAACACCCCTGTCAACAGACTCCAAAAATATTTGCATCCTAACTTTCTAGAAAAGATAATTTTGACCAACAAAAAGTGGGGGTCTGTTAATAGAGGCACCCTCAGCAAAAGTTTGGTTTTATCTGGCCATTTTCAAAAATTTGAAAAACTATCAAAACAAACTCTGATATCACTTCTTGGTATCATGCAGCAGAATGTTTGCGTTAAGACAAAAACCAAGAGGGGGGGTGGATTTGTTTCTTATAACAAATTATTCCTTTGAAAAAATTTTCGCAAGATTTTACCGATTAAACGATAATATAATAGAGTACTTGAAATGTAAAAAATAAGGAAAGAATATTACACAGTAATTTATATTGGTTCGAATCAAAAGACCCTATGTCTATTTGTTAATCACTCTAAAAGAGGATTAACACAGTCACTAAAATAATGGTTCTCAAATAAACAGATTACAAATAAACAAGGATTAGAAAACACCTCTCTTGAGTCACACAAGAGATGAACACCTCCTTTGAAGCCACAAAGGATGAAGATAGTTTTCCTAGAGATAGCACAACACTCAATCCACTGAGAATCTCATTCAATGATTCTTATCGCTTCTAGCCCACACTAGGTTTTCAAAACCCCTTTTTCTTCCCTACTCAAAGTTCTCCCAACAATCACAACTCTTAACTTTTTTGAGTATGAAAAAGGTTTATCATTTTGCAGAGAGAATGAAAGTCCTTTAAATAGAGTTTTAGGGTTTTCAATTTTGGGGATTTTCAAAAATTAGGTCAAAAATTCGAAATTTAAATTCATAATTGACACAGATAATTGATTGATATCAGTGATAATCGATTATCATAGAGCCAATATGG